TTAAACAAAACTTTTATTAAACATAATAGTCATTTTATTAAACATAATATTCATATCAATTAAAGTAAAAGTTTGGTCACCTATTATTAATAGATTTTTTTGTATTATTAATACATTAATATCATTACTAATGTAAATTCAAATTAGTTATTGCTAAAAATTGCAATTACAAACTACAATATTTAAATAAATTGTACACTACCTGTCAAAACTCTTGTCATCGATGACAGTTGTAAGAGCAACAGATAATAACTTGACTTTTTCCAATGAATCATCTGTTGAACTGCATCCCAATCATCACAAATACTGCATAGGACCTATTGGAACCTGCATGGATCCAAGATTCTCACAGAAATCAGTCAAGTTTGGTGAAGGAAAAATCATGGTTTGGGGTTACATTCAGTATGAGGGCATGTGGGAGATCTGCAGAGTGGATGGCAACATCAACAGCCATAGGTATCAAGACATTGGTGCTGCCCATTACATTACAAACCACAGGAGAGGGCAAATTCTTCAGCAGGATAGTGCTCCTTATACTTCAGCCTTCACTGCAAAGTTCCTGAAAACATAGAAGGGCAAGGTGCTCTAGGATTGGCCAGCCCAGTCACCAGACATGAACATTATTGAGCATGTCTGGGGTAAAATGACAAAAGAGGCATTGAAAATGAATCCAAAGAATCTTAATGAACTCTGGGAGTCCTGCAAGAATGTTTTCTTTGCCATTCCAGATGACTTTATTAATAAGTTATTTGAGTTAGTGCAGAGATGTATGTATGCAGTCCTCCAAGCTCATGGGAGTCATACACAATGCTCATTCTTTTTCCTCTGCACCATGACTTTATATTCTATACTGTACATTATTTCTGTTAACTGACAAGACTTTTGTCTAAGCAAAGTCAGACCTTACTGTCCTAATTAAATAATAAAAAAATCAAGCCATGATCGTATTCTATTTTGGCAAAAAAAAAAGTGTAATCTAGAGGCCTTTGCCTTTTATATAAGCCACTTCTGATACCAAATAATCAACTTGAAGTCAAGTTACTATTTGTTGTTCCTAAAACTTAGATAGTCAATAAGACTTTTGTCAGGTAGAGTATATCATTTATACATATTATAAACACCCAATATATTAACTTCTGTGAACTATTTTTGGACAATGATCTGAAATTGTGTTTTTTACACTCAAATAAGTGGAAGTTTGTTGTTTGTTCAAACTACTTACTTAAAATGAACCAAAACAACACAATTCTTGAGGTTTTATTTGGGACAACTTGTTTATTTTATGTTTAATCCACTTAAATTTGTAAAAACTAATAAGTTAACTTAATTCCTTCATGTTGTCCCAAAACAATTCAGCTTGTGTGGAACTCAGCATTTTTAAAGTGTAGATAAGTTCCAGTTGTAGCTTTGGTGCTGATTAATCTAATGTATATGCACAAATATATTATTGTAAAGCATCCTATAGAAAATATTCATTAAAATAAGACAGATATATGAGGCGTGTATTCATTTATGCTGAGCACTATACTCACACACACGCAAACACACGACCCCTGGAGAGAGAGAGTCCCCTTTAGGACCAAAGTGTACTGAGCTGACAGTTTGTTTTTTTCATATACATATATTTATATTACTCAGTTCAACAATAACCACAAATGTGTTAGGACTGAGGAGCCAGCAGGGGGAGCGAGAGAGCCTTCAGTTCTGTGTTGATGTAAACGGAGGAGGATTTGCTCTTCATGTTTACTCTGCTTTTTATTTTCACAAAGAGTTAGCTCAGAAATGCCTTCTTCTCTTTCTGTGGAATAGTTTTATACTTCTTCAAACTTTTTGACTTCAACTGCTGTTTGGAGAAAGATTTAAAAATCAACACACTATGCTGTTTTCATCCACTTTAGACTGCAGAATTACTAGAGAATTTGCTAAAGAATATATTTTAAAGAGTGTTTCAACTGTTCCTGTTTTTTTTTGTAAATAAACATTTATAAAATAAAAAAGGTAAAACAACAACAACCAAAGACTATATGTGACCACAAACCACAAAACCAGTCAGTATTTTTATATGATGTACAGCTTGTTAGAAAATGGCTATATTTGACTGAGATACAACTATTCGAAAATTTGGAATCTGGAACCTTTTTTAAATACTGAGAAAATTGAGTTTAAAGTTGTACTGTATAAAATAAGTTCTTAGAAATGCACATTACTAATCAACATCTTAGTCTTTTCTGCGATCTTTTACCTATTATTTAAAATATTTCTGGCAAAAAGAAAAATCAATATATATCAACCTATTTCCATAGCTTTTATACTATACTATCAGGGGTTCTCAATCTTAGTCCTGGAGGTCCTGTGTTCTGCATATTTTTACACCTGGGCTAGCTAATCAAGCTCTTAAGCTGTGGTCACACTGCACTTTTCTCCCCATAGACTTCCATTCATACGCACACAAATGCGTCAGACCGGAAACGCAAGCTCTTGCGACAAGTTTCACAGTTTGCTGTGTTGGAAAGTTCAAGCTTGGTGGACTCTGACCTGCGAAATTGTATCAAGTGATAGAAATTTAAAATATTGACCAATCACTCGCTTTTTCAAATATCTAATCATCTTGTTTAATCCCGCCCCTTTTCGAAGAAACGTACAACAGAATTTTGCACACACAAACTCTAGTGTTATCGCGGCATTACTAGGCTCTCTAGAAACATCCTTGCAGGCATTTTGAGGCAAGTGTGAGCTCAAATCTGCAGGACACTGGCCCTACAGGACCGAGTTTGAGAACCCCTGCTATATATACTTATAAGACTGGTTTTAGGTTCAGTGTCACATATACTATTCCTCTTTATAGTGGTCTTCTGTAGTGCTCAATGATTTAAACTTGCAAATTTCAGTTTCAATGCAGCTGCACAACACCACCCAATGAATAAATGTGTTACCTGGAGAAACAAATGATCATCTTTACAAAAAAACAACAACAACAAATTATATACATTTTAACCACAAAATCTCATCTTGCAATAGCCCTGAATTGCTTTTGTGGAAAGAAGCATATTTTTTTTTCTTCTTAACGAAAATGACACTGTTTTTCTAATCTGAAAGTAAGGAGGTTTTGCCACTAAATTATATTTATTTCAATAATATAGCACTGTTTAGTGTTTTTATATTTATTTATTTAAATAAATCTATTTCCTTTTTCTGCACACACATAAAATATATTAATAGGCTTTTCGTTTATCTGATTTAGTATTTTTAATAACGATACATTTTTTTCTAATTTATAATACTTTCTCTTTAACTATATATTACATTATATTAACAAACTATTTTAACTATTACTAGGTTGTGGCTGGAAGGGCATCCGCTGCGTAAAACACATGCCAGAGTACACTGTAAAATATCCAAATTACAAATTGCTAACTCAGTTTAAAATTCTAAGCTAGGTGGACATATTTTGGAGCTCAGTGTTGAGTTTCCTCATAAAAACTATTTAACTGCATGTTTAGAACTGTTCAATGAAAATAATGAAATCAGTTGAGGAGACGTAACATTTTGAGCTCTTCATTTAAGTGTTTACTTCCTGCACTGTCAAACATAAGTTGAGTTAACTTAGAAAAGTTTCATGAGTTCACACTCACAGATATTTGACTGAATAGAATATGCATATTCGACGTGCTGTCTCTGAGCTCGGGAAGACATCTTAACTTGTGTTATTCCCCTTATCAGGATAGCGAGAGATAGGGTCAGAGCGCAGTGTCTAACTGGCTTCAGAACGCTCCCCCCTCAGATTTAAATAGGTATCGGGTTTAATAGTGTGGAGTTTGGGTGGTGGAGGGATGCTGTAGTCAAGGGAAATCAGAGGTATGACGTGTTTGACTATTTATAGGAGTTTGGTCTCGAGCTGATTGGACAATTGAAAGATTGTCTGTGATGAATTAGCCTCGTCAAAGACTAATCGTGCTTCTCCTGAAATTTGTTTCTGAAACATCACAAAGCAACCGGATGCAAAGAAATATTGCGTTTTTAAACTTCAGGGGTTGAAGTTGTGCCAGATTATTTTTTGAAATTGAGTTGAATTTCATAAAGTATATTTGACTTAAACCAGCCTTTTCAGTTAACTTGAAAAAAAGACACAACTTCAAACGCTGAACACCTCAAAATGTCTTTGTTTTTAAGTTACTGAACTTTTTATTAAGTGTACAGTGTGTACAGTGTATTTTTACAGGGACTAAACTGAAGAAAAATGAATGCAAGACTAAATATAAAATATTACAAATGAGCTTTATGAGCTGTCTATGCTGTTAATGTTCTCCGGTTTGAAGTTGCATTGAAAAACTGTAGTTTGGAAGTCCATAGAAGTCCACAATATGAAAACAAATAATAAAATGTTTTCCTAAAAAAACAATGTAAACGTAAATTTAAAGTAAATGTAAAGAAGGAATTTGACCTGTTTGATGAAATTGGGCTGAATAAATAATCAGGAAATTTTCATTCTGTTATTGAAACAATCTTTTAAATTAAAGGGACGGTTTCCTAAAAATGGAAATTTACTCTCTATCTATTCTCCTTCCAGTAGTCTAGGAGTTTCTTTTCTATTAAACACAAAAGAAGATATTTTGAAGAGATTTTGATGTTGAGATGAGCATAAATTTTGAAACTGTGCATAAAACATTTTTAACTGATAAAACTAATTTAAATAAACCAATAAAAATGCACAAACTATGATTAAAAAATATTTACTGAATAAATTTCAGCATGCGCATACAAAAAAAAAAAAAAAAAAAAACTCTGGGGGAAGGGAATGCTGCTTTATTTGCTTGTCTCATATATCAGTGTTTCTCAACCACATTCCTGGAGGACCACCAGCACTGCATGTTTTGGATGTCTCCTTAGTCCAGGGGTGTCCAAACTCAGTCCTGGGGGGCCAGTGTCCTGCTGAGTTTAGCTTTAACTTGCTTCAACACACCTGCTGGAAGTTTCCAGTATATCTAGTAAGAGCTTGATTGGCTGCTTCAGGTGTGTTTGATTAGGGTTGGAGCTAAACTCTCCAGGACACCGGCCCTCCAGGACCGAGTTTGGACACCCCTGCCTTAGTCTGTCTCCTTAGTCACACTCATTACTTTCAGTCTCTGCTTAGGAGCTGTTAAAGAGACATGAACAATGTGCTTAGCTGGTGGTCCTCCAGGAATGTGGTTGAGAAATACTGTCATATATCTTTTATGTGAATTTTCTAGTTTTGCTAATCTTATTCGCATCTTTGGATGAAAACAGCTAATGACTTCAATAGTAGGAAAAACAAATACTATGGAAGACAATGGTTACAGGTTTCCAACATTCTTCGAAATATCTTCTTTTGTGTTTAACAGAAAAGGAAAAAATTATTCGTAACAAGTAAATCAAGAGTAAATGATGACAGAATCTTCATATTGTTAGGTGAACTGTCCCTTTAAGGGCATTTCAGATTTGGGAAGAAAAGAGAGTGAAGCGCAGTGCTGAAAGTTAAAGTATCTCTCCTGTGTGTTCTTGACCGACTCAACACTTTCCCTGCTCAAACAGAACCTGAAGCGAAAAGCTGATTTCTCTGTCTCTCAGTGCAGGGTGGTGCTGTCGCTCTCCGTCTCGTGGATGGTGTGGAGGGGCCGCGGGTGAAGGGGTGGCAGGAGAGGCGAAGCGGGGGACGTGGAGGCTCCGTTCTTGGCCAAACCGCACGAGTGAGCAGCACAGTGAATCTGACGCAGTGTGTCCATCGCTTCTCCTTTCGCATGCTTCAGCAGGTCTGCCTGGCCCTGGAAGACACAGGGGAGGGGGGAAAATTAAGATTAACCATTAATATAGCTTTTAGGTCATCTGAGGTTCAAGAGACAAAATAGCAGGAGCTGCAAACATTGTGAATTAAGTTGTTTCAAATTGACAAATATGTGGAAGCCATGCATTGTTTTTATTTATATAATTGTCTAATTATAAATTATGACAATCTTGTTTTTCTCGTGAATCATTTTCTCCCCCTTGTCACAAATCTTTATGATTTTCTTTCATCTGTTAATTACTAAAAGATATTTTGAAGAAACTCAACGTGACCATTAACTTCCATAGTAGTTGTTTTTCCTACTGTGGACATTAATGGTTACCGGTTTGTAACATTCTTCAAAATATCTTCTTATTTGTTCAAAAGATGAAAGAAACTCATAAAGGGTTGGAACCACTTGATGAGATTTAAATTTTTTATTTTTGGGTGAACAGGGCGACACAGTGGTTAGCACCGTCACCTCACAGCAAAAAGGTTGCTGGTTTGAGTCCCGGATGGTTCAGTTGGCATTTCTTTGTGGAGTTTGCATGTTAAGCCGAAGGAAAACAATTAAGTAGAAAGAAACAGAATGAATATTAACAGTATAGACAGCTATACATTTGTAATATTTGAAATATGTAGCTAATATTCTGTAATACATAATTGACAGAAAACGTATTATGAATGTATTAAAAATGTATATTAATAGACATACTAAAACAAAAAGTTATACATATGTGTGGCTAAAAACAACCCAGCATTTTTTAAAGTGCATATTAGTATATAATAATAGTACAAACAGTAATAAATTGAGTAACAAAACAGATTACATCATGTCATAAGGTGTAAATCATCTCCGACTGTTTTCTTAATAATGACAATGAGTTTACTGTACTCAAATGGCCTCCACAGTCACCAAATCTCAATCCAATTGTAACCACGGGGAGTGACACTTGACAACAGAAGGTAGGATCCAAATGCAGGTTTAATCATAGTCAGGCAAGCAATGGTCAATTCAGGTGTAAACGGGTATATTGAGACAGTCCAGAATCGTAGTCATATAACAGGCGGGAGGTTGTAAGGCAGGCGGCAGACTCAGACAAAACAAGACTAAGTTCAATAAACAGGATAACAAGTCAAGGAGACCGTGTTGTAGTGTTACTAGTACAGATAACAAGACTCTGCAAACTGAAGGGGTGAATGTGTGGCTTAAATAGTGTGTGTTATCAGTCTTTGACAATCCTCAGGTGGTGCAAGTGCAATCAGTCTAAATGAGGAAGCAGGTGTGTGGACGAAGAGCATGTATGAAGTTGAAGTCCATTTACAAACACATTTGTAGTTCTGTGAGTGAGAATGTTTTCCAGCGACCTCTGGTGGTTAGAGATCGCTGGTGAATGTGACACCAATAGAGCACCTATGGGATGTGGTGGAAGGGAAATTCACATTATAGATGTGCAGCCGACAAATCTGCAGCAACTGCGTGATTCTATCATGTCAATATAAACCAAAATCTCTGAGGAATATTTCCAGTACTTTTGTTGAATCTATACTACGTAGGATTACGACAGTTCTGAAGGCAAAAGTGGGTCCAACCTGATGCTAGTAAGGTGTACCTAATAAAGTGGCCAGTAAATGTATGTAGCTGTGGATTATCCACATTTATCCCACACCCTATAAATTATGGGAGTTACTTTCATTCAACTGTAAACACATATTTTCCTCAAAGTTTAACCATGGAATATTAAAAGGCAATTCATTTGAATGAACGAATTGTATTCAGCAAACCTTGCATAAAGTCTTTTCACAGCAATAATAGGGATATGCTGAAGATTATGTACCATACTGTAGAGGACATGAAAAGAAAATAATCTGGTGGAACAAACAAAAAAAATCTGTGAACAAATATGCATGTGATACTGATGTCATGTTAAAAATACCAAGCGTAGAACTATTCATGACTTATTTAAAAAAAAAGCCAAACATATTTCAGTTTTAATGATCTATTTTATATGGATTATTTGTACTGTTGTACTACTAAAACTAAAAAAAAAACTGTTGTATAACTAAAATAATAAGTTTCAGTTTTTTTGAATGGAAGTTGCCCAAAAAGGAAGTGCAACCCATTATCTGAATGGTGTACATGTGCCTTAAAGGATCACTCCACTTTTTACAACTCCCCTAGAGTTAGAGTTGAGTTTTACCGTTTCAAAATCCATGCAGTCGATTTCTAGGTCTCACGGAAGCATTTTTTAGCTTAGCTTAGCATAAATCATTGAATCGGATTAGACCATTAGCATTTCACTCATAATTTTCAGAAAAAGGAGTTTTAGAATTTTAAAGCTAGACTCTTTCACACCAAGATTGTGTACTAAGACTGATGGAAAATGAAACTATGTGTTTTCTAGACTGGCATGTCTAGAAAACTCTCATTCTGGGGTAATGATGACAATGATGGTGTAATAATTCCTTGATTATTACGCAGGAATGCAAGTATTCTTCCTAGCAATATCAAAAAACATTTTCTGTCAGTCTTGGTACACGTAACTACAGAAGAATCAAGCTTAAAATAGGAAAATTAACAAAACTCTTTATTTATTTATTTATTTGAATGGGATGCTAAAGGTCTAATCCAATTCAATGGTCTATGCTAAGCTAAGCTAAAAGTGCTCCCGCCAGACCCAGATATCAGCTAAATGGATTCAAAAATAGTAAAACTCAAATGTTTAACTCTAGGGGTGTTGTAAAATAAGCCTTTCTTTTTCTTTATTCTTTTTTTAAAGAGGAGTGTCCTTCAAATACAACGAAAGGATGCAGCCTGCAGGGGAATGAGAGTATAGTTCAAAGCAACACCATCCTATAAAATAATAACTTTACATTTTCTGTCTTAGTACATATTGTAATTACAAAAGAGTCAAGCTTTAAATACAAAAATGATCAAAACTCTTTTTGGATTTTTTATTTTATTATTATTATTATTTTAAGCAAGATGCTAATAGTCTAATCCTACTGATGATTTATGCTAAGCTAAACTAAAAGTGCTCCTGCCAGACCCAGATATCAGCTGAATTGGTTAAAAAATGGTAAAACTCAAATGTTTAACTCAATTCAGTTGTAAAATAAGCCTATTTTTCTTTTCTTTTAAGTGGAGAGTTCCTTTAAATAAAAAAGAATGCCGCCTGCTAGAGAATAAGAGTATAGTTCCTACCAATATTGACATATAGAACAACAACATTGCATTTTCTGTCATTCTTGAGTCTACTCCAATTCAATGATTTATGTTAAGCTAGCTAAAAGTGCTTCAGACTCAGAGATCGGCTGAATGGATTCAAAAATGGTAAAACTCTAATGTTTAACTCTAGGGGAGTTTTAAAATAAGCCTTTTTTTTAAGTGGAGTGTTATTTAAAAAGCCATCAATTGATACTGCCTGCAGGAGAATGAGCATATAGTTTCTAACAATATCCAGTGGCGTAGCTGATGGGCATGCAAAAATTACATTTGTTAATTTCTATAATTTCCTTGAAGGAAAACTGGTGTGACAATCATTAAGAGAATAAATAGATTGTTCAGTTTGATTAGTAAACAATACAAATACTATAATCCATTACATACAGTGCATCCGGAAAGTATTCAAAGTGCTTCACTTTTTGGCCCAGCCAGAGCCCAGACCCAAACCTTATTCATCTCTGGAAAGATCTGAAAATGGCTTTACACCGTCATTTCCCATCCAACCTGAGCTTGAGAGGTATTGCAAAAGAGGAATGGGCAAAAAATCCCAAAGACAGATGTGCCAAGCTTGTGGCATCATATTCAAAAAGACTTGAGGCTGTAATTGCTGCCGAAGGTGCATCAACAAAGTATTGAGCAAAGGCTGTGAATACTTATGTACATGTGATTTTTCAGGTTTTTAATTTTTTTTTTAAATTTGCAAATTTTTTTTTTTTTTTTTTTTTTTACATTGTCTTAATGGGGTATTGTGTGTAGAATTTTGAGGAAATCAATTAGTTTAATCCATTTTGGAATAAGGCTGTAACATTAAAAATGTGGTAAAAGTCAAGGTATCAATATCCTGATCCACTGTACCACAAGTGTTTCACTTCAATAATTACTACACTTAAGGCGGTCATTTTGACCATTTTTCATTCTGTAATTTAATGTTAACATAAAACCCATATGTCGATACCCTGATTTTTAAAACATAAATGTATACGTATTTATTTCGAAATAATCAAAACTCTTTTTGTTTTGTTTTTTTGAACGAGATGCTAATGGTCTAATCAAATTCAAGGATCTATGCTAAGCTAAGCTACGTTAAAAGTGCTTCTACCAAAACTAGAAACTGGCTAAATGGATTAAAAAATGCTACTCCAGGGGAGTTGTAAAATAAGCCTATTATCAGAAAAGTGTGATGTTCCCTTAAATGCAATGAAAGGATGCAGCCTGCAGGGGTCAGTGTAACACAACCTGAATGAACACACAGCACAGCACAGCTCTAGAGTCCTCCCAAAACCCTCCGTAAATCAGCACAGATTCTGGAAACGACCCAGAAGGGACCGGATGAAGGGGACAGAGACTGAGATGGAGACGGGAGGGGGTGATGATCAGGACAGTGTGTCTTAAAACAGTGTGCCAGGCATTTATGTATGTATTTATGTGTATGAGAAGACATTTTAGAAGGACACAGTAAATAAATGCTAAAATACAAGGACACGTCACTAAACTGTGTACTCAAAACACGGACAACGACACATAAATTCACTTTCTGACTTTCTTACAAGGACACTGGAAATATGAGCCTCAGATAAAACCTTTATGTCTAGAACAAAAGTGATTTGATTTTAGGGCTGCGCCGATGACATTTTATCAATACTAGTGCTGGTTTTTTTTTTATGATTGCTGTAGAATATCAGTGTGTGGAACTGATGCTCGCTCTATTATGTGCTACACAACAAAACTAAATATACACTACATTGTTGAGAAGACAAGTCATAATATATGAATTT